AGTAAATATTACTAAATTTTCCTGTGAATCAGATTTGCTTGATCAGAGGCTGAATTCACATACTTGTGGAATGTAGCCAAGAGTAAAGCCATGTATCTCTGGTTTCTAATCTTCATGACCAATCGTCAGTTTCCTCTTCCTCATTTTGCAGTGATGCGATAAGCAGTGGGAGCCAGAGACTGCACAAAATAAAACTTAGTATGCTGACTCAAATTTATATCTGAGAAGAAGCACCAGGGCTCATGCAATCTGCCTGGCTAGTCCTTGATTGTTTTCTCTCCTGTCAGGAACATGATTGTGCCAGTTAGGCTTCAAGTAATAGAAAAGCAAACTACAAGTGGCATGAACAATCAAGGGCTTATTTCTCTTATACTGAGGTGCCTGGAGGTTGGTGATGCTGGCATTTATCAGTGATGTTGGAGTGGCTGTCTGTGCCTTGCTCTACAGATGCAGACTAGTTTGCATTGCTCTAGGCAGGAACAAGAAATGGGGGCAGTAAGAGAAACTACCCCCCAAGTCACCTTACCTTCATTTATCCCTCATTGGCCAGAGTAACCCTCAGATTTTCCTTCCTCATGTGAACTTTTGGTATCGTCTTATTTGAAAAATGACTTTCTTTCCTGAAAGCCTGAAGGTGGCTCCATCTGTTTTTCTGGAAGTTGTAAGGTTTGTCTTGCTCACCCAGGTCTTTTTCTTTTTCTTTTTCTTTTCTTTCTTTCTTTTTTTTTTTTTGTCAGTTGTGGGGCTTAAACTCTGGGCCTGGGCGCTGTCCATCAGCTCTTCAGCTCAAGGTGAGTGTTCTACCACTTGAGCCACAGCACCACTTCCAGTTTTCTAGTGGTTTATTGGAGGTTAGAGTCTCATGGACTTTACTGCCTGGGCTGGCTTTGAACCGTAATCCTCAGATCTCAGCCTCCTGAGTAGCTAGGATTGCAGGCATGAGCCACCGGCGCCCGGCTCACCCGGGTCTTTCATCTATGCAGTATTTTTTGTTTGGTTGTTTCCTTTAGTGTATCTTGGTCAGGCCAGTTGCTGCTCCTTTCTCACCTCTAGGTGAGAATTTGACACCTCTAAGTGTCAAATTTCATTTTCTCTTTTTGACAGCAAGCTTCTCTTCAGTAGGTGTGGTTGTATCTGAGTTTTGTCTTGAGCATCAAACTGACCTGAAAGAAAAGTTTGGCATTTGCTTCCATACCTCCTCTCTCTTTGGGTCCTGGCCACACTGACATGAGCACTGGGCAGCTGGGTAGTGGAGTCTTCCGTGTGCTTTCCGCCATGATGTTTTTGCCTTGCTACAGGCCCCAAAGCACCAAAGCCAACTGAAGGCTCTGGAACCTGAGCCAAAATAAATCTTTTCTTCTGTTAAGTGTCTTATCTCAAGTGGTGGCAAGCACTCTCTGCTGGACAGTTTCAGGACAGGGTTCTTCTAAGAGTACATCTATACACCTCCCTCCACCCATTCCTTCTGCCTGTTTCTGCTGGAATCTCATTATAGGCCCAGTCTTTCAGAATGAGTCAAGTACAAAGACAGTCCCCAAGGCATTTGTTTTCTTTTGGCAGGAGTTGGTTTATATGGAGATGTTAGAATTTTCCCCTTTACAGAATTGAATATTTTGTCTAATTCCTACCCTCTCTCTTTACCATAGCAATGTGATCTGTTGTAATGTGGTCTGTGTCAGGAAGCAAGTACCTGTCCCTGACTGCCGCCCAGAGCTGAAGAATGCCAGGATCAAATTTTTTTTTTTTTTTTTTAAAGAACCCTTCAGGTGAAGGATACAGTGGCCAAGCTACAGCATCCTTTGTATCAGTCCTGAGTTATTCCACTGGTATTTTGTCATCCTTTTTCTTAGCTTTGAACATCATTAGAAATTCTAAGACAACCATAAATATCCCAGTTTATCATTTTGATCAACATTTCCATGCACTTTGACAGGGAATCAGAGTAGTCAACAGCCAAAAGCCCAGAGTTTCATAAATTAACTTGCCATCAATCATTCATGCTTGGCATAAATGCTGAATTTTATTTTTTATTTACTAGACTCATAAGGAAAGGAATAAGACCAGGATTAGGATTTTTTTTTTTTTTTTATCTAATGTCATAAGAGAAAGATGCAGGTAAGATCCCGCCGTGTTCATGTATTTGAAATGCATCTTAAAAAGGGACAAGGCTTATTTATTTAACTCTAGAACACAGCACAGGTGCAGTATACCAGAATTACAGGGTGGTATGGGTTTTATGCCTCAATGAAGTAGAACTTCATACTATTTTGAGCCATTCAGCAATAGAAATAGTTGCTTTTACTGTGTTTACAGTTTTGACTTGTTTAACTTTCTTTACTTTTGAAAATCGTGTGTGTGTGTGTGTGTGTGTGTGTGTGTGTGTGTGTGTGTGTGTGTGTGTGTGTGTGTGTGTGTGTGTGTGTGTGTGTGTGTGTGTGTGTGTGTGTGTGTGTGTGTGTGTGTGTGTGTGTGTGTGTGTTGGTCCTGGACTTAAGCACAGAGCCTGAGTACTGTCCCTGAACTTTTTTGTTCTTAAGTCTACTGCCCTATCAGTTAAGCCACAGCTCCACCTCTGGCTTTGTGGTGGTTAATTATTGGATAAGAGTTTCACAGACTTTTCTTCCCCAGTCTGACTTTAAACCACAGTCCTCAGATTTCAACCTCCTGAGTAGCAAAGACTACAGGCCTGAGTCTATGCACAGCTGTTTTTTTTCCCCCAGTCTTGGGTGTTGATCTCAGGGCATGGGTGTGGTCTTTGACTTTTTTCACTCAAGGATAGAGCTCTATTACTTGAGTTAGTCATAGCTCCACTTCCAGTTTTCTGGAGTTAATTGGAGATAAGTCTCATGGACTTTCCTGCCTGGGCTGGCTTTCAGTTGAGATACTCAGATCTCAGCCTCCTTAGTAGCTAGGATTACAGGCCTGAGCCACCAGCACCCACTTTCAGCTATTTTGTTTTTGATTACCTTTTTATCGAGTAGGTTATGAAGAAACTGATACATTATTATTAAACTTGTTCAGTATCTCCAAATAAATAATGGGGTTAGTTTGCTGCTATCAAGCCCAAGGGCCTTGATTCTCTGTCTGAATTCACTCAGAATCATAATCATCCATTTCACCAAAAACTGTCTGTCTGCTGCATGAGAGGACAGAATTGAGCTGAGAGAATTCCAACCCGCCACCACTCCCAGGAAACAAGCATGAGTTGACCTGCAGCGTCTTTGGTACTGAAACTAAACTCTCTCACTATCAGAATCTGCACTGTGTCGGGAGGTGCAGAGGGACAGTCCACTCCCATAAAAGACAGTACTTAGAGTTGGACTAAGGGAAGGAACAGGACAGAGTGCAGGTGTGACCATTTGCCTTCAGGATTAGGGGGTAATAGGTAACTTTTCTTTGACTTCTGTATCTATTAGTATGTTTGTGAGATGCACCAAAAGCAATGAATTTGGAGGGGAGTAGCTCAGAGGCGAAGGCCTCATTCCTCTACTAAAAAGAAGAATGTATCCAGTTTGAGCACAAAGTAGAGACCTATAAAGACTATTGGGAAGAAAGTCCATTTTTTTTAAAGGAAGAAAGACAGGCATCCCTGTTGATCTCTCCGCAGCTCATTTAGTAGTTCTGCCCTTTCATTCCCCCTCCCCCTCACATACAACTTTCCTAAAAGCATCCACTATGAAATTCCAGGAAGATGTATTAAATATGTTGCTATAGTTTACAGTTGTCATCTGTAATGTTTTATTTAGCTGAGTCCTTTTCTCCCACCTTTCCCAGTACCACACAGAACACCAGATGCCATCGTCCCTGTTGGAAAGCAAAGGTTTCCCTGGTCTGCGCCTGTGCTTGTGTTTATGCCACACAGGAGCTGTGGTCCAGTGCCATCTTTTATTGATAGGGCCAGCAAAGGAGAAATCTAATGAAATTATCAGAGCTTTGAATTAATGATGAACTGGAAGAGGAGAGCCAAGCTCTCTGGAGCCAGGGATCTCATTACCCATTCACTCTCATTACTACATCCTCTTCTGAGCAGAAGGCTGTTCTGCTACAGCTCTTAGCCTGGCTTGGACTTTATTCAAACTTGCGAAACTGACATCCTCCTTACTACCACAGCATGGCTTCTCATGTGCACGACTAATTTAATTCTGCTCTGGATTTGCTGAAGATGGAAATATGGGTTCTCTACTCCTGCTTTTGGCGTTTCTTTCTTCTCTTTTTGTTCTTCTCCCTCTCATTTCTTTCATCAAATTGGATGTGGTACATTTTTTTTCTCTGTTTTTGGGTACTATGAGAAGCTGTCAGGACTGTTGCGGTCATGGAATGTGGTGATTGATTTAAAGTTCACAGCTGTAGTACATCTGCTATGTGTTTTCATCGATAGTTAGGTAAGCACAAAGTCAAATATTCCTTTTATTGTTTTATTTCATTTTTGAGTATCAGATGGAAGCTGCACTTGCTGGCTTCTACCTTAGAAGCACTGGTATGGCGATAGGTCTTCTGATCCTAACTGCTTGGTTAGATTGCTAACGCATGTTGTATGGGAACCACCGATCTCACCTGGTTAGAGTTCCCAGAACTTATGCTCGCTGATGGGGAGCAATTCATGTTGTCTGGCAGTTCTCTTTTTCTTTCTCTCAATCATATGAATTTTTTTTTTGGTGAATAAATCAACCTCTGATTGTTCTAGGTCTAGCAGCAAAATCAATACCAACAAGGTTTTGATTTACTGTTGGTGATGATTCTTTGGGGCCTGTCAGACAGAACCTCTTGGCAAAGCCTTCTGCCTGCACGGGAGACCTGTTATTTATGAATTCCTAGGCTGCACCTCATCTATTCTAGTAAACTCCAGGCCACTGGCAATTTCTGTAAAGCAGTGACTAACTTTTCTCTTAAGGCTGGTGTTTTAAGGTTTTTGAATAGTGGGGGAAGGGAGAATGAGAACCTTTGCTCTTCCTTTGCTTATTTACTTTCAGTGAGTTTTCCTCCATTTATTTTCTCTCTAGGCAGCTGCGATATTTAATTCAGCCTTTGGAAGTTTTTTGGTAAGTAATGATCATTTACCTTTGTCCATTCTAACTTTTGTTGTGATATTTGGATGCAAGAGTTTATAAAAGTTCTTGCTTTTTTTTTTTAAAAACTGTTTGGTTAAACGTAAAAGTTTCTGAATCTTTTCATGTGTCTGGAATCACATCTTTTGGGAAAGTGGCTAATGAGTACAGCAAATGTTCAAATGTTCTCTTATATAGTTTAGAGGCTTGGGTTTAATATTCCATTTAATGGATTCGAACAATCAATTAAAACACTATGCGTCTCCTTATAGAGGTTTTGTCAATATATTGATCCTTTAATGAGGTCTTTTAGATTATTATTATTTTGTATCATGGGACTAGGGATTTGAAAAGGCAACCTGACCCAGATGTCCACAAAGGGCACCTAATGTTCATGTTGGCATGTCATTTATTTTGTACAATTCACTGTCAGAGAAGCTACTTTTATACCAGTAAGAGTTCTTTAGAAAAAACAACAACAAAACACAACATTGCTCTAAGAATAATGAGTAATTTGCAAGAAAACGCCGTGTTTTTAGAAGTTTCCATTATAAATTATATGTAAACAGATTTAAAAGCATTTCATCCTTTAAAAGCAGAACCAGTATAAGGATGTTAGAGTTTTTAATCATAACTTTTATATAGATGTGATATCACAAATAAATGATTTGTGTTTTGAGTGAGAAAGTAACTCTTTTCTATTAGTATTGTTTTTATCCTAAAAGTTGGTTAAATTCATGAAAATAAATTAGAATATTATATTTTTTGACATGTAACTCATTAAGTGATATGTAATTTAGTGATTAGAATAAAGCCAATGGGGTACAAACGTGTTCATGTATACATAAAATATCAATTATGTGTGCTTAAAATGTTCTTTATATTGTCCCTTATTACTGTATTATATGTACTTAATTGTAGTTAAGGCTTTAAACACACAGTTACTCAGTGTTAATTCTGCCAAGTGCTACACAGCTTTTCATGGTTGTTGCCTTATAGGACTTTTAATGATGTAGCTTCCTGTAAAATATATGATTAGAGTATGTTCTGGGTTTAAAGAGGCTGTGATTTTTTTCTTTTTGGTTTAGAAGAGAAGCATTAAAATCTATTTTAAAATAATTTCTCAGGTTACTTAGTTTAGATTCTTAATACTGTGTTCAGTCACTGTGTCACAAGTTCCAGGATTATTCTTAAATTGCCTTAATAGTTTAACAGACTCATGTCTATAACATAGGATTCTGCTAGAAGTCAGTGCTTTACACAGTTTGGAATCATATGTAAATACTACAAAGCATGACTTCTTCATAGGAGTCTCTTACTCTTGAAAATACCAGTGGTAACTGCGAAAACAAAACTGAGGTAATTATCCAAGAGACTGAAACAAAATACAAGTTCTTCTTCATTGGAGAACTGCCTCACTAAAGGGAGTTTGAATTTGTTCTGATTGTTGAAGACTCTCACGATCTTTCCCTAGCAGGCCCAGAGGTCGCTGGGGCTGGAACCCAGTCCCTTGCTGGTCAAGTGCTCTGTCACGGATGTATGCCCCTAGTCCAATCTAGGGGTTCTTCCACATTTTTTGGTGCCTCCCCCTTTTTTGTAAAATTTAATTTTATTGTAAAGGTGATATACAGAGCAGTTGCCGTTACACAGTAAGGTAATGAGTACATTTCTTGTCGAACATTGTTACCCCCTCCCTTGTTTTTTTCCCACACTCCCTCCCCATCTTAATTGTGCATTCTCCTGTTTTGTCTTCTACTCTCTTTTCCTTTCTGGTTTTCCTTAGTTCAGTTAATCAATCGAAAGTACTCACTAACCTCCTGCCTCACATAGTTTTATAGTTGCTATGAAGGGTACAGAGAAATGGGAGGTAGTCCCACTGGTTCATGGAAGTGACCTACAGCTGGAGAAATAGAAGACAACATTAACGAACTCTCTTCTAGGGTGATCGTATCCACCACATCCCCTGGTCTGACAGAAGGGACTTCTGAGCTGGGCCCTGGTGCATGAAGGGCTTAGGCAGCAGTAGGGACCAGAGAGGAACAGCATGAACAGTGACAGAGGGGCACAGGTATCCTTTCCCATTTCCCTTTCCAGTTCTCCCCCACACCCCCTTTGTTCTTCCCTAGAGTTGAAAATTACCAAAGAGTGTTTAGGAATGAAAACTATGACCAGACATGTTTTGTTCCGATCAAACATGTTTTGCCCCAATGATGTAAAAACAATTTCTATTTCTGATCTTTCCTTTTCAACATTGATACCACAACTGTTGGGTTGTGAATTATCTTTGGCTCTGAACTGTACCATTAAGAATTAGATTCAGATTCTATAACAGAACCCCCCCCCCCCCATACACACACACACAAGTAATAGTCACTTATACGAGAAAAAAAGTTTATTTCTCCATTATAGACAATCCCAATGGAGGCTGCCCAAGTGTGTAGTGACTTGATGACTCGAATGGACAGAGATTTCTGTCTCTTTTGCTACCATCCATAGAATCCAGCTCCCTTCCTCAAGTTAGCTTCCTGGTCCAAGATAGCTGCTGGAACTTCAGCAAAACATTTAGATAGCAAAGTATTGGGGGAAGAATAGAAGCGTTCCCTAAAAGCTAAACCTGTTTTTTTTTTAAAGTCTTATTTTTGGGATTCCAGGAGCACACTTACACCAATATAGAATGTAGTCGATGATCACATGTAGCCACTGAAAAGATTAGGAAATGTTGATATTTGCCAGAGCTAGAAACAAGATTTCTGTTACTACAGAAGAAGAGATGGACAGCTAGCACTTTCTGCAGATGAGGGGTGTATAACTGTCTTGAAGTGTTTGAAGGAAGAATAAATAATCTCAGCGGAGTGAGATAGTATGAAAGCTTGGGAGCAGTTGTGGTTGAGTTTGAATTAGACAAGGCCTTCTTTTACAGAAGGGAAATTCTAAATTACAAATCTTGATTTTGTTATTCCTGAGGCATGGTGTTATAGTTTTTCATGAATCTTTAAATTGAAGAACATAAGGATAAATCAAATGTATTCTTAATGTTTCTAGCTATGTATCATAGTATGGTTTTTTTGGAGTCGGAGTATCTGGGTTTCAATCCTTTATTAAATATCATTCTAACAAGATAGCCATTGTGAATAAGAAATAGAGTAATGATAGTCTCTAAACTATAGAACTGTGATGAAGATTAATTGGGACAACCTATTGCAAATGCTTACATGATGTGGGAGAGTCAACGTTCAGCTAAAGTCTAGATCTAGTTAGTCCAAGCTCTGCAGGGGTTTTTTTTTTTTAATATGTAACTGTGGACATCCATTAAAGGAAAAAAAATGGTTACATCTGATTCAGGCTTAGCAACTAAAGTATGCTGATTCAGTGCTTATTCTCTATGAGTGACCATTCTTTTTGTATCTACATAATACAAAAAGGGCACTTGTTCCAGATTACTGTAAAACTGTAAATGAAAGGTTTTGTTAGAGATGAAAGGTTCTTTTGGACGAAGAACTCTGAGAACATTTTTACTGATATTCAGGTATATGGCTTCACCAACTATGAACTGTACATATTTATAGCAAGATGAATAATGTCCCAAGTCTAATTAAAACTCAGCTATTTTAAGAACTAATTGCTGCAGAAAACTTTGTTTTTTTATTTTTTTGTCGGTCGTGGGGCTTGAACTCTGGGCTTGGGCGCTGTCCCTCAGCTCTTCAGCTCAAGGCGAGCACTCTACCACTTGAGCCACAGCGCCACTATTGTTGCAGAAAACTTTAAAAATGTGTAGCTGGACTGGTAATGATAGATGAATTCAAGTTAAATAAATTCCAAACGAAGAGAATATTTAAAAATCATACTACAGAGGAGGGCTTTAAGTTAAAAGTTAATGTCATTATCCTCTTCACATTTAAATTGGTTAGCTTACAGTAATTGTAGTACATTGGTGATTTGAGATTTCCTTCTTGAAGTTTTAATAAATTTTGATAGCTAAATGCATCCTGAATAACTAAGATAATATCACAATTTATCTATATATGTGTCTATGTAAAATTATGCATTTCAGAGTCATTCATTTTCTATATTATTTCCTGATTAGAAGTATAGCTCGTTTTTTGGTAGATATTGGCAACCTTTTGAAAAATCCCAGTTGAAATTTTCTTTATTTCAACAGATTCAACTGTATTGAAAAAAATTCTCCAAAATTAATTTAGACTACATGATTTTTTTTTTAGAACCTTAGCATTTTTTTATTTGGAGGCTGAATTTAAATATCTTTAAAGAACTACAGTTTAAGTTTAAAAGGTTAAAAAAATAAAGTTTTTCTTCTTAAATTTCTGAGCCCATTTTAAAATTTTTGGTAACTCCTAATGTCCCATGGAAATCTTGATAAATGATAAAAGTTCATTTCCCAGTGACTGTTAGGCAACTAGGAACAATTCTTGGCAACATAAACTTAATAATTTCTGACGTAGAGACAATTACAAGGAAAATAGACTTTGTGAATACATTTGAACAAGGAATGGGCAAAATGACTATGAGTCTCTGTGTATTTTCCAAATCTCTTCATACTGTCAAGAATGATTTTCAAGCCCAGAGCTGGTGGTTTATACCTGTAATCCTAGCTATTCAGGAGGTTGAGATCTAAGATCACAGTTTAAACCCAACCTGAGCAGAAATGTTCATGAATCTCTTACCTCCAGTTAACCAAAACAAGCAAACAAACCAGAAATAGAGCTGTGGTTCAGTTGGTAACACACCAGCTGTGGGCATAAAAGCTAAAGGACAGCACCCAGGCCCTGAGTTCAAACCTCAGTACAGGAAAGGAAAACGAAGAACAGAACAACAAAAGCTTACCATTTAGGGAGAGCATTGTACAAATTCCTAGAATCCTGGAGTTTGGCCATCTGAAGATGCTATTTGTATTACTACAATCTTTTCTATAGGATGTGTGTCCAGAAAAACATTTGGTGTGTTTGTGTGTGTGTGTGTGTGTGTGTGTGGAGTTA